GCCAAGGTACAAACTAGAGATTGAAACCGGTTTAAATAATTCAAGTTTATTATGTAAATTTTGTAATATTTTGGAATATAATCTAATTAAATATGAATAAATTCCAAAATATCACAAAATTTATATGATAAACTTGAATTATTAAAACTGGTTTCAAACTCTAGTACAAACAAAAAGCTTTACAAATAAAACTAATAAAAAATTAGCAATCTATATTGAACAAATATTAGCAGAATATATTAAGAAAAAATTTACCACTAAAGAAAAAGTTAAGGCATAAATAGAAGAATTATATAAAGAATTATAGCAATACAAAAGAAAAAAAATATAGTATATAGAACTTGTACTCAAAAAAAAATTACTATCATTACTATATAGTGATACAAAAAAATGCAAACTTGGATAATGCTAAAATTTGCATAATTATATAATAATCTTCTGTATAAATACTTAGCATTACTATCACTATTAGTATTAGAGTTAGAGTTAGAGTATGAAAGGTTTTTTGGTTTGATTTTATATATATTATATTTAATTTTACTAGGATAATTAAAATATGGTCATATTTAAATCCTAACCTTAACATTAATAACAAAATTTTTTAGTTGATAATACTAGAATTCTATAAGCACTTTAGGTTTGTTTATACAAAAAATTATCATATGATCATGTGAATTTTAGCATTATCTGATTTCAGCATTATCTCTGACAAAAAATAAATAATATTATATATAATCTGAATATAAGATAAATATAAATATATTTTTTATTTATACTGATAATATTAGGTGCTTTTTATTTATGAATCTGAATTATATCTTTTTTTTTTTTTTTTTTTTAAGATGAGGTTTTGCCTTTATCTTTATTTAATAATTTGTATTGAGGATCCACTAGAGGTTTCTCTGGTCTATAAGACCAATAATTACAAATATTTTACAAGAATGAGACTCAGACTATAGATATTTAACTATCTAATTTATTTGCAACCTAAATCTACTAGAGTGGTTAAAAACTTACCTAGATTCTATAATTTATAATATTGTTAGTAGGTGTGCTAAATTTTATCCAAGAAGTTAACTATAAACATGCTTTTTTATGAGCTTTTCCGAGAGGTGGGCAGTTATTGTCTATATGTTGTTGATCAGGTAAGCCACAGTTGTAGCTCTGAATTATATCTTATATATTATAACTTTTTATTTTTATATTATCAGTACCTCCTTAATCCATATTTGGTCCCTTAAATACCCTTCATTCATCTCCCTGCTTGCTAGTGGTGTTTTCAGTTTCAGTTGCATCTGGTTCTTTTTTAATAATCCATTCTGTGCCACTTTAGTACTTGTCTTGCTATTTTTGGTCTGTCTTGGGGTTTTGGTCATCTTTTTATTTTGGGGGTAAGCAGAGACCTCCTGAATATCTAACCTTATAGTTTCTTTTTTTTATTAGGTTAGTACTACTACATTTTTAAGCTAGATTTACTCAATTTTTACGTAATTTGTTAACAGATTTGTCTTATCTGGTCATTTTCAATCCTGTGGTTATGTTGACAGACTATATTCTACATGTATAAATTCTGTTTTTTCCTTATATAAAAATTGTCCTCTTAAAGATCTTTTCAGTTGTGGTCTTGACAGAGCCTTGTTCTCTAGTTGGATTCGAATCTGCAACCTTGCAACTATAACCTGAGAGTACTAATCACTGTGCTATTGACCTGCAAGACAAGATAAATATTAGATAATAGGGTAAAGCAAGCTACTAAAATAAAGTTAAAATTAGCAATATATTGTAAATCAACTCTTCCCAATAATTACTTGAATTAACTAACACTGAAAGCAAGTTGAGGCCAGAAGTTAACAACAACTTGAAGTTTTCTTAATACAAACTATTATTGATGAAGTTTTTAAATGTGATATACCGAGAAGCAAGTATTTCGAATAGTTTGCAAAGAGGTTAAGTTTTTTTCTAGGTTTTCTTAGATGGACTCTCCTTTGCATTTAATATCTAAATCAAAAAAGTTTTTGAGAATAGCAAGTAAAAAAAAACTCAAGAAGTTTGGAAATAGAAAAATATAATAAACTTTTAGAAAAACTCTCTTTAGTTAGAAATTCACAAAACCAAAACTCACTTTACTGTTTTAACACTTCTCAACCCAATTTT